TTTTTTTAGAATTAAGAATTCTATATTTTGAAAATTTGATTTCATTTTTTATTTTAATTAATCTGAAGCTAGATTTTTTGAGAAAAAAATCGTTTTACTGGAATTTTGAACTCGTGTTTTGGTGTGTTTTTCTATATCTAAAATATTATTTTGTGGATGAAATAAATATATTTAATTTTGAAATTTGTTGATATATATAGATAATATGAAATCATAAAATTTTTAATAAGGAATTCCTAAGTTTTAGCCTAAATATGAAAAAAAAAATCACACTTAAATACGGAATATAAATTGAAGAGAGAGAACAATATAGAACTTGTATTAATTATTGCAGTTTAGACTTTAATTACATATTTTGATTTTTGGGTGATGTATATATCTTTTGCTACAATTTCTGACAACAATATATAATATGCATTGTTTTACAGTCAGGTTTATTCTTACCAGATTTATACCCGTTGGATACCAATTTCATATATTTTTATTTTGTGTCTTTGTTCTAAAATTTCAAGTTGGATACCAAGTGTATATAAATTGGATACAACATTAATTTGTTTTAGATTGTCTAGTTTGGTTGAAATATAAGTTACATTTTTGTATTTTTCATTTTCAAGTGGGATATATGTTGGATACCAAATTGATACCAATTGAGTACAACATTAACTTGTTTAGGTTGTCTAATTTGGTGGAAATCTCAACTACATGTTGATTTTTCAATTTTCCAATGGGATATCAATTTGATACTAAATTTATACAAATTTGATACAATATTAACTAGTTTTACGTTGGCTATTTCAGTTGAAATCTCAATAATATGTTTTTTTTTTCAATTTTACCACCGGGACATTAGTTGAATACCAAATGTATACCAATTTCATACTAAGATTTGACTTAATTTTTTCGGTCGATATCAATCGCATACCAACATTACCTATTTTTTGAGTATACATTTGAAAAACACTGAATACACAAATGATTAACTAGCACACGTAATAAATATTCTGAAATTATAATTCATTAACTTAAAAAAACAAAATAAATCAAAACATGAGTTTGCCACAATAAAACAATCAACTAAAAATAAAAATAAATTATGTCTTTTTTCAGAAGGGTAATTTGAACATGCCTTTTTGTTGAGTTCCTCCCGACGATATGTACTGCACGTAATCTTAGACCTCTTGAATTTCACATCAGCAAATCATTTTGAACCAGGCGACAATAATTTATTCTCCGACACTTGTTGAATTGCATATTTTCCTATTTTATCATAAATTATTGTGTCAGTATTACATCATACAAAAGTACAAATAACTTTTATACATATGTTATATCAATATACAAATTTCATAACATTTTTATGCATACAAAAGTAAAAATACATATGTTATTTTAAAACAATTTCATATTTATTACAGAATACAAAAGTAAAAACACATATGTTATATCAGTATACAAATTTCATACAATTCTTATTCACACATTTCTTACCTATTTCATGCCAAATATTATCAATTATTCATACCAGGATCACGCCACTAGAATACCAAAATAATTCCAACTTAGAAATATTAATTGTCATTTTTTTAATAAACAGTATACCAAGTTCATTACATTATTATTCTCAAAATTCATTACAATATAATGCCAAAAAAAAAAATCCAATCAAACCAGAAATCGTACCAAAAAATATTATCGATTGTCATACATGTCTGGTATTATTAGTCGTATACAAATTCCAAAGAAAAAATTATATATTTTCTTAATCAGAAATATACCAAAAAATAAAAAATGGGTCAGACAAATAATGAACAAATTCAATGTTCATACCAAAATATAACATTATACATTATTTTTTTTAAAAACGCCATAATTCAAATTATTACACACAACAAAAAATCTGAAATCAGTATACAAATTTCATACAATTAGTATGCACGTTTTTCATACCTATTTCATGCCAAAATTATACCTATTTCATGTCATAAGTCATCACTTTTTCACAGCAAAATCATGCCACTATAATACCAAAATAATACCACTTCTAACTATTAATTGTCATTTATTAGACAAATAGTATACGAAATTCATTCAAATATAATTCTAAAATCGTACCAACATGGTATAACTAATATACCAAATTCAAAAAAATTTATGTAAATTTTTAATCAGAAACATAAAAAAAAATGTTCAAACCAAAATCTATACCAATTTCAAACAAATTTTATGTAATTTTAAAAGTGAATATTCATACCAAAAACGCCATAATTGAAAACTATTATACACAAACAAAATCTGAATATTTTTTTCCCAGAATTACTGTTCATAATTTTTTTAACGTTTGGTTTGTATTACAATACAAATAAAAAAACGTAAAAAACACTAACCTGAAGGATCCCATCTACCACCATGATTTATTAATACTAATAAGAAGCCGTCCATTACAAGAAAATAAAGATTATTGAATAAAAACGAATATGAATTAGATGAAAGTGACAGTTTACAGAGAAAATATTGAGAAGAGAAAGAAACCTTCCAACAAAAGAAAAGAAATATGTTTGAACAAATTTTAACTGTTTGAGCTAATCAAGGGAAAAAAATATTTTATTTTTTTAAAATTAATTTTAACTGATTGAGCAAAAAAAGGAAAACAAATATTTTAATTTGAATCCCCTAAATTTATGGCATTATTATCCTTAATGTATTCAAATTAATGACATATCCATTTTTTTCTTTTTATGATTTTCAAAAAAACCTTTTTTACTATTATTTTAAAAATCTTTTTTTAATAAAATGTTACAATCTGAAATTTTTTACTGTTATAACTTGAATGTTTTATTATACTATCATAACTTGAACATATTAGTCTTATATATAATTACACATGTTCTGTTTGGTTGCACAATTGCAATCATAAAATTATATTCAATTTTAAAATAAAAATTAATTATTTAAAATTTATACTAGACAAATAAGAAACTTTATAGTTGACATTAACTTAAATATTTAAGATATATATTCTTTTTTGAAAATATATTAATTAATAAATATATTTTCTTTAACTAATATTATGAAAAATAATTGATTTATATTTTTTAAAATTAATATATTTTAATTGAATTGATCATAAAAACTAAAAGTATGAAGTTTCTACGAACATCGTGAAATGCATGTTTGATAAAAAGATTAATAAATAAATAAAATGTCATAAATTATTAAATGTTTGACAAAAATATAATCTATCAAGTTTAATTAAAAAATGACATGCAATGTGAATTCAATATTACTAAAACAAATGAAACTGAAAATATAACATAAGTTATAAATTCAAAACAAAAAAATTAACATAATACTCTCATAACAAATTTCAACATAGCATGCATAAATATGATTTTTTTTAATTTTTTTTTCTTAATAAAGAAAACGTAAGTCTATAACCTTACTTAACAATAAATTCTATTTTAATTTAAACATTAGAATACTAATAAAATTATGCTAATGAGAAAATAAGCATGACATAAAAAATAGATAATACAAAAAAAATTGCATAGAATCACGTAAAGTAAGGTTGAGAACAAGAAAAAAATGAAATATAATAATATAAAATATAAAATAAACTTTTACAAATTTTTAGAATAATAAAAATTAAAAAAGAACTTAAAATAATAGAAGTAAAAAAAAATTAAACAAAAAAAAAATAAAAAAATAAAAAAGTAATCAGCTGGTAATTACACCATGTAATTACCAACAATTCACAGCCTCTACATGTGAATTGTAGGGTGTAATTATCCCCTGCCAATTACACAAATTACCTGCTTACCAAGTAATTACATGTCCAATCAAACAAGACAGAGACAGACAATGTAATTACACCCAATTACACCAAATCCAATTATCAGGGTGTCCTTCCAAACAGGCCCTAATTAGTTTACAGGTTGGCAAGGCGCTGCCAATTACAAAAATTAACTATAATATGTCTTAGTAAAATCTCATAAATAGTACTTCCTTTGTCCCTAATTATCTGTCTACTTTTTCTTTTTTAGTTATCCCTAATTAGTTGTCAATTTTAACAAATCAAGAAAGGACAATTTTTTTTTACCTATCATACCCTCAATTAATTACTTTGAAAAGGTAGAACTTCTTGAAAATCTTAAGTTTTTAATTCATCCACTTCATAATTAATAATGGTAAAATAATAAACTCACTAAGTTAATCATTGTTTTCTTATTAGGTGTGCCAATTTAAAAGTAGACAAATAATTAAGGACATAGAGAGTATTATTTATAAGATACTGTGAATAATCAGATATTTTTCAAGATTTATGATTAAACATTAATTAATATAAATATTATCATAAAATACTTCTGGTAATATATTAGTATTACTTAAGGAACATGTAAAATTGAAAGTGGACAAGTAAAAATAAACGAAGAAAGTAGTTGAATTTGTATATCTAAGAAGATATCGTAAGTCGGTTAAACTATTATTTTCTTTGTTTTAATTTATTTATATGACTTTAATTGACACAAAAAAATAATAAAAAAATATTTCATGGTCTTAAAACTAAAGATATATAAAATGTATCAAAATAAGTTGTTAATTTTATAATCAAACATGTTATTGAAAAGTTCAAACATTGATCAATATGAATAGTAATAAAATATTCATGTTACACCGTGTAAAATTCAAACTGGAAACAAGCAAAAGTGAACTAATGGATTTATTTTTATATTTTTCATTCGGTGCCCGGAACCTATACGAGATCTCTAATTAAAAGTGAAACACTCTCACCAGTGCAACATAACTTATGTTGGTGAACTAATGCATTATTATTTTGTCCCATTGTTACATAATTGCGGTGGCTTGGTAGTACTTTACTCAATCCCTTCTCACCTCCTACTTATATCTCTATCCCTTTTATTCTTCTCATAAAATTCATTCATCCATTTTTCTCTGCTTTCTAATAACACAAATCAACTAACCAAATCCATCAATAGTTGGAAATGGGTATATGCAATTCATGTGAATCTACATCTGTTCCGACTGCGAAATTAATATTACAAGACGGAAGATTACAAGAGTTTTCTTATCCAATAAAAGCTTCGTATCTTTTACAAAAAGATCCTTCTATTTTCATCTGTAACTCCGATGAAATGGAATTTGGAGATATGATTTCCGCGATAAATACGGAAGAAGAGCTTCAATTGGGTCAATTGTATTTCGCTATGCCTTTGAAGAGACTAAGAAGTAGACTTCGGGCCGAAGAAATGGCAGCATTAGCTGTGAAGGCGAGTTCTGCATTGAAGAGAACTAATAGTAATAAAGCGTTTGTATTTCCTCAAGAAAAGAATTGTGATAGAGTGACAAGGAATGTGGTGGACGGTGGTGGTAGTGGGAGGAGAGAGAAGAAGACGGCGAAGTTGAGTGTAATACCAGAATAGGGTGAAAAAATCATATTTGGATAACCTTTTGTTATGCCGGGTAAAAGTTACCGCGGCTATGCTAAAAAGGGTGAAATAGTTGAGATGCGCAAAATAGATATACGGGGACTAACCATTCAGTTATTGATCCAAATCTGGTAAAAAAGATATGTTTTGAAAAGATGAAAGTTGGAGCTATTGACCTAGAAAAATGTCCAAATATACTTTCTGAACAATCTTAATTTCGCATATTCAAGTTGATCTTCGATTCACCCCGGCCTAATCATTGCTATCGAAGCGAAGTCCTAAGGTTAATCTGAGTAATCCCATTGGGAATCAAAGAAAGGAGAAGGGAAATATTTTAACGAAAATTAGACTTGCAGCCAATATGTGAAAGATTTTCATTTATAATTACTACGCGTTGATGGTAAATCTTTAATTTTAAGTACTGTTCATTTTATTTTATTTTGTAAATAGTGGGTTTTATAAATAAATTGAGATTCAAAAGCTGGTCTCTATTATTATTTATTTGGGTGATGCAAAAATTTATATATATTATATATAAATGTCAACAATTACTAAGGTGACATTTGTTTGAAGTATTATTTGGTTTGCAAATTTAGTTTTTGAATATTTTGCATAAATAGGTTGGTTGGACGGAATCTTGAATAATGTTAAGGAGTTGTTTGCTCACGAGAATTATTTACTTTTTTCTGTAAATAATTTTTCCAATACCGTCTTCATAAATTTTAAATAAAATACTTGTTTTTCTCGTTTGCAAAAAATATAATCAAACATAAAATTATACATATCACCAAAATAGAGACAAAATTAGATTCGGCTGGACAGGGACACCTAGGTCATGGCTGAAATTACTAGAACCATGCTACTAACATTATTATTCTAGCTAGCTACATTAATGTATTGAACAAGATTAATTAAATAATTAAAATGAATGGGATGATTTATTGCAACCATTTGGGAAGTCAATGGAAGGAGAAGAACATATGAATAATGAATGTGTACTTGCAACTTGCAAGCCCCATAAGACATACTGATTAAAAAAAGGCCAAACACATATACAATTCCTCTAACTTGTCTTACATTTTTCATTTTGACACTTTATCTTAGCCTTGTCCCATTTTAATCTTTGAACTCCATTTTTTATGTACCATTTTAACACGAAATACTATTTTTATAATTTCTTTATTTTTATATATATTCTTCAATTGCAACTTCTTATTTTAAATCGACATGTGTCAGTTAATTTTAGTTAAAAAATAAAAATTAACAAAAAATAATAATTTCTTTTTAAGAGTGTTATGTATTTTTGTGTAAAAAATAACCGACGAAATTGTATTTGTTTTCTTTCTTTAAAATCACCGACAACCTAACAAAGTCAGTCGAGTTTTAACATTGTTTAGTAATGTTATTAGCAATGAACAAGAATCTTTTTTTAGTAGTGTTTTTAACAAAGTCAGTCAAGTCTTTTTGAAGATGAATTTTTTTTATTCGTATTGATTTATATTAAAAACTAAAAGTGAGTATTTGCGTTAAATTTAGATTGCCTAGATGATAAGAAAAAATAAATAAATAGTGTTATTTAATTTAATTAAATGTTTAAGAAAGAAAATCAAAGAACTTTCGTCAATTTATTTTCATGCAAAAATACAGAGAAATCTCAAAAAATAATATTATTGTTTAAAAATTTCTATGTTCGTTCGCGAATGTTTAATTTTTTTACGAAAATTAACAGGCACACGTCTATTTTCTAAAAATAAGAAATTGCAATTGAAGAACATAAATAAAAACAAATCATAAAAATTAGTATAAGTGTTTAAATGGTACAGAAAAAATGGAGTTTAAGGGTTAAAATGGAACAAGACTAAGTTGGAGTGTCAAAATGAAAAATGAGGACAAGTTTGAGGGGTTGTGTATGTGTTTGGCCTTAAAAAAAATACTTATGAATTGTCATATCCCCCACAAATTTCATTATAATTATATAATTATTTGATTTTCATACTTGAATTATTATCATCTATATATTATAAATTTAAGGTTAGTGGTTAAAACTATCACCGTATAAATTAATCTATTCCAACCATGAAATTCATCATCTTCTTCTCCACCTTCTCAGTCGTGGACTCGTATCTATCGTAATATCGATATGTCCGACTTGAAAGAGGAGATTTTAGAATTTTTAAAAAGTCAATTAAGAATATATTAAAAAATAATATGTCAACAAATAAAGCTGTTATATATGTAAGGTGAACCAAAATTTTATAGATAAAAGTGCCTATTAGCATTCTAGACAAATATTTGGTCTAATAGTCTTTTATGTGTGTTTTGCAAACCATTAGAATGATATTTCATATAAAAAAACTCTCACTTTCAATAATTTAGATATGAAACTCAATAAAATAAAATAATATCGACAGTATATTTGATGGTTTTTAACTCATAGTAACAAAATGTAGAAAGCTAAAATAAAATTTGACAAAAGGCACCAAAGTGTAAAGTTGGCCATAGGTATGAAATGATCAAATACAGATATATCATGACATTCTCATTTTCCAATTCCTTCGATCCGATCATCATCTATTCCTCTTCCCCATTTCTCAATAATCAACATCTCATGCGTTCCCATGGTGGAAACTACCTTCAGCTAGAAGAGAAAGAGAAATCAATTTCATCTCCTCAACAACCATCAGAAACAAGAGAAAGAAGAGATGAGTAGTAAGTATTTTGTGTGCTTCACAATATTCATTTTATTCATCTTCGCATCTATCTTCTACAGTGGTCGTACCATTGATTACAGATCAAAATTTCTGCTTTTCACATCCCTGCCACCGAGTAACGCTACGCCCTGCAGCAGCAGCGCTACTCAACTGCGGCGGCGGCCACTCAATGTTTATATGTACGATTTGGGGATGAAGTATAATGTTGGAATGTTGAAAGGCCCGCATTACGATGGTCCTCCAGTGACGATCGAGACTCTGCCGGAGTTTCCGCATTATACTGGGTTAAGGAGACAACACACCGTGGAGTATTGGATGCTGGCTTCGTTGTTGTATCCTGAAAATGGGACGAGGCAGCAAGAGGCGGTTAGGGTTTTGAATCCGGATTCAGCTGATGTGTTCTTTGTACCTTTTTTTTCTTCGTTGAGCTATGATACTTATCATAATCAGGGGAATGAGACAGAGTCGAAGTTTGATGATCAACTGCAGGTGATCTCACTTTTCTGGTATCTTTATTGTTATGTTTTGATGGAAGAAAAGGGAAAGGAATGAGTGCTGAAAATTTGGTAGTTGGTTAGAGCTATGCAGGTCTTAGTAATACATATGTTTGATTCATAAACTAGATTTGATTCATAAACTAGATGCTTGTGACTGGTCAGATAATCATCTTCTAGGCATGTTATGCTAATCTTGAATTCGTGACCCCCATAATAATGGCCTATTAGAATTATGAGAAGTGATTAAAGAATGGTTTAAAATGTAAAAGGTTCAAAGAGTAACAGATCACTGCTAACAGGATATAAAGTAGTTTTAATAGTATTGTTCGAGTCCTCAAAGAAGGAAAAACAGAAAAGGTTTAGTGGTTAGATAAAATTGTTTCAATTCAAAGCTTAAGTAATACTATTTAACAGTATTAGTTTGAATACTTAGGGAAAACCTTTCAATTAAGAGAAGTAGGTCAAGTTTATTTAGGAAGGAGGGAATATTAGAGTGACTTCAATGAGCTTCCTTTCAATTAACCAATGAGGTAAATAGCAGTTTGACTTCCTCTGTTTCGGGGGTTCCTTAGGGACTGATTCACTTTGTGTAGATTGACGTAATGCAGAAAGACTTCTACTGGCAGGCGTGGAGGAGTTGAATACTCAAAGCTGTTGTCAAGAGCCGTTAAATTACTAATTTATCTAGTGGTGATGTATTGCTAAATGTCGTTGATAGAAATGTTACACATTAGAGAGTGGGTAGAGAAGTTGCTGCTTTATCATAGATAGTGATGAACACAGCGAACAGTTTTTTCGCCAGTAAGAAGATTTCTGTACAATTATTTAGGTTGTATTGTTAGTATACAACAAAGGCATCCTACCCTTTCTTATCAAATTTCACAAATTCCAGCCATTTATGTATGAAAAGGTAATCACCTTGGAGAATATTATTGCTAAAACAATGCTCTTGTGTTGTCTATGTATATGTGTTAGTATATAGAATACTCTGCTGTATATGGATTCTAGGCAAAGATCTCTTTACCTCGTTATTACAAGAAGAAAGCAATAAAAGAAATATAACCTTAAAGTTATGAAATTTTGGGAAGGGGACTGAACCATGCACTAGTCCAAGAAAGAACAAAGTAACATTCGTTTGGGTTTCTAATTTAAATTCTTAATGTAGCATAAACAATGCAAGAAGTTTGAATAAGCTTTAAGGGGTATGAAAATGATGTGATTCTTTGAGAGTCTCAGGTAGAAGTTTGATGAAGTTCGAAGACAGCAGCAGTTGTGTAGCCATTTAGGTCTGGACTTACATCTCTTCCATAATTGTGTAGGTTTAGACTTTAGAATATATTTATTACTGAAGAGAAGTCTACACTCTACAATACCTAGAAGTGTTGTATATAGTATATACTGTTATATATTCAGGCTCGTTCTTTGTTTGTTTTGATTTCTTCAAGTCCTATGTGCTAGCTGCTTTACTATTCTATGCTATTTTTAGCCGCTTCACCATGTGTTATAACTGGAAATTGGTGATAGTCTGGTAGGCCCTTTCTTGTATTTGTCAATGCAACCGATGTGCTAATATAAATTCTTAATGTAGCATAAACAGTACAAGCTTTGATCGATTTCCTCATCACCTTCAGAGAATTGCTATGTGGATGGTAATAACCATCTTCCTTTCTGCATTATATTTATCTGCATTGACTTAGCTTCTTCTTCCAGGCTGAAATTGTTGACTTCTTACAAAAATCTAAATATTGGAAGAGGTCTGCTGGTCGAGATCATGTGATACCAATGCAACATCCAAATGCTTTCAAACATTACCGGGATAAGGTAAATGCTGCTATCTTCGTCGTAGCAGATTTTGGTCGGCCTTCTCCATCTGTGTCTAATTTGAGGAAAGATGTTGTGGCCCCATATGGACATGTGGTTGAAACTTTTGAAGCTGACGACTTCTCAGACCCATATGATTCTCGCAGAACACTCCTTTTCTTCCGGGGGAAGACAAAGAGAAAAGCTGTATGTTTATACAATTTCTGAATAAATCAGTTACATATTTTTTATGACAAAAATAATTTCTAAATCTTATTCGTATTGCAGGAAGGGAAAGACCGTAAGCAGCTGGAAAAGATATTAAGTGGTCAAAAGGATGTTGTTTTTGAAGCAAATGGAGTCGCAGAGGGAGGTGTAAATGCAGTAAGTAATTTTGTTGTACCTCTTAAATGTATAACATCTATCAGATCCCTCTGTGGAATAATGGCTTAATTATAGACCTTCATTTTTCTTCTTTTTTGTCAATTTTTGCCTTAGTTTATCAGTTGAGATTTTGTGAATAGTCCACGTAACCTGTAATTAGTTTTATTTACTTAAAGAAAAATACAGTCAACTTTGAAATTCACCTCCCCTTTTCCTTCTCCTATTGTGTTGTCTTTTCCTTACTGTGATAGTTTATTCTTTTATGTCAGTCTACCAAGGGGATGCGTTCGTCAAAGTTCTGTCTAGATCCAGCAGGGGATACCCCATCATCTTGCCGCCTTTTTGATGCTATAGTTAGTCATTGTGTCCCTGTAATTGTGAGTGACAAAATTGAGCTACCTTATGAAGATGAAATAGACTACAACAAGTTCTCTATCTTCTTCTCACGCGAGGAGGCAAAGAAAGAAGGCTACATACTTGATCAGCTCAAGAGGATTTCTAAAACAAAATGGCTTGAAATGTGGAGATATGTTAAGAACATTACACATCATTTTGAGTATCAGTACCCTCCGAAGAATGGCGATGCTGTAAGCATGCTATGGAGGCAAGTGGAGCACAAGCTTCCTGCTGTAAAACTTGCTGTACATAGAAACAGGAGGCTTAAAGTGCCAGATTGGTGGAGATAGCTTTTGAAGCTTCAATTAGGTGATACTTGGGAGTGGTGTTTACACAATACTTAATAGTGTTAGAATAGGAATAGGAACAAGAACAATATATAGAATCATAACTTTTTTACTGGAGGTCCAGAGATCAATTTCTACTGAATACATTTTTCCTTCTTTATTTTTTCCCGTAACACCCTCATGTTATAGAAATTCTGAATTCGCCTCTTAATACAAAACAATCAACATATGATAAGGCTACAACCTACAAGAATTAAGTTTGAACTAGAATGATTAATCTAGCTTGTTAAGGACTCCTACTTGTTCATCTAATGTATATAAATCAAATGCAGCTTAAAGGAGGGTTACACATTGGTTATTCTTATTCTTAACAAGTTGAACATCTTTGTTCGAAATTATATCATGTAATAAAAAATTATACGGTCTATATATGGATTTGAGAAATACTTTTAACGAAATTCTTGCTTCAAACACTGATGATAGTAATAATGTGTATTAAATATATATATGGATAAGAGTAACTAAAAACAAAAAGATTCTTAAAGGAAATAATCTATGCATAACAATATTCACAGTATAAATAATTATTGCATTCTTGTTCCTATAGTCTTATGAAGGTATGATTCTCATTCTGATTCATTCAAGGCGTTGATAAAAGCGTCCTTGAGATGAGCGTTTGTAGCAGCTACCCGTCGAGCTGTGAGGTCAAATTCGGAACCAGATGGATCAAGCACGAGTCCTCCAGCTTCTGTGACTATGAGAGCACCAGCTGCGACATCCCAAGGACCACCAAATTCAATTTCATAGAAGAGATCAAACCTTCCACACGCCACTCCACATAGATTTAATGCACAAGAACCAGACATCCTGAGGGACCTAACCTTGAAAAGCAATCTATTGATTCTCCCTGTAGTAGCATCTACAATTGCCTTATCCCTGTTTGTTCCAACCTCTGTAGCAACAAGAGCCTTTATAAGTTGAGACTCTGAAGATACTTTAATAGGCTTCCCGTTAAGAAAAGCACCTCTCCCATCGATTGCAGTGAAAATCTCATCAATAATTGGGTTGTAAACAACACCAACCACTGGTTTCTTTTCAATTGTGAGACCGATAGATACACAAACAAAAGGAAACCCGTGCACAAAGTTGGTCGTTCCGTCAAGTGGATCAACTATCCAAGTTGGTTCATCAGTCAGCTCAAAATCTCCAGAAGCAGCAGCAGTTGTTTCTTCACCAATGAACTTATGACTGGGAAAACATTGCTTTAGATGATTAAAAATTAAATCTTCACATGCCTTATCAGTCTCTGTTACTAAATCAACAACTCCTTTGTGCTCAACATGCTTACTCTTGTAGAATCCATGGCGAATTATCTCTCCACCTTTCTTAGCTGCTTCAATTGCAACATCAACAAACTCTTCAACTGAATCGTTTTGCCTCATCTTGTTTTAATTTAGTAAAAAGAGAAAATATTATTACTATCGAATTGTATTGTGTCTCTACATAATTCCTATTTATAGACACTCTAGTATCCTTTTTCAGGTTGGGTTACATATACTAATCCTTTTCCAAATGGGACTCCTAATACTAATCCTTTTCGAAGTAGGATTCTATATACTACTGTTTTCTCAAGTAGGATTTTATATACTGTTCTTTTTCTTATTTCTATTCTAACAAGATTTAGTGACATGTTTATTTAGAAAGTTCTTTTTTCTTTAGTTGACTGAAGTCATATTTGATAAGAAACTCTATAATATAATGTGACTTTTGGGATTGTTTACAATTTTAACAATCGATATTACCGCCTCATTAATTAAGTCAAGAGTCCAATTTGTATAAGAAATTAAATTTTCAGTGAGCTATACAAACAAAGTAGACATACCTACTAAAACTTTAGTTACATTACACGTAGTTAGGTAAACTACACCTAAGGAGGCTTAGTATATTTCAACTCTTAGCTATTTATGAAATTTACCCAATAAATTAAATCTTGTCGTTGAATAACTTGTTCTATCGCTAGAGAAACTTCTGTTGGTACATCACACAAGAACAAGAAGCACAAAAAAAATCTTCTAATTTATCATCCGTAGATGTTCCAAAAATAATATTTTGAAGGATTTACAAGAAAATATGTTACAAAACTACAATCATAAGAAGAACAATTAATTATAGACATCCCGAGTCCTGAGATTTTCATTACTTTTTGTTGTCTCAGCCACTCAATATCATGTTCTTATTTATTTTATATTTTTGTTGATTTATTTGTTTTTTTTTTCTTTTAATTAAGTCGTCATCATTTGGCGAAATTCATGATAATCAAGTTCCCCGTTACCATCAATGTCATATACTTGGATCATAGTAACACATTCGTCGTAAGATTTTGAATCCCCTAAACGACTTAAAACTCTCTGTAAACTTTTAGGTGTAATCCGACCACAACCTTTTTCAAGTTCATACATCTCAAATGCTGACTTTAACGATTCATCCTCTTCACTACTTCCTTCTTTTTGCATCAACAACTTCTTAAAATCTTCAAAAATTATGAAATTATCACCATCCGTATCGAGTTCATCTACGATTTCTTGAGCATCTTCATGTGACATGTGTTCTCCTATGGATCCAAAATACGCTCTTAGCTCGAAAGCCGATATTTTACCTATTAGAAAATTAATGTAACAATAGAACAAAACAAAAGTAACAAAATTAATGTAACAATAGAACAAAATTCAAAAATTAAATTTAAATAATATATATTGCAACTACATTAAAAATTACCATCGTTATCGGTGTCAAAATGACGAAATACTTCTCTAAACTCATCTTCTCTAGATGAATTTCGCCGTGATATGTTTTTTGATGATTTTGGAGTTCTTGGAGAACTTTGGCTTGAATTTGAAGACTTTGATCTAAGCCTAGGTAAAATTACCCTAAGGTTTTTATAATGTGAAGAGAAACTAAAAGATTTTGATAGTCTAATTGATTCCATGAATATGTAGACTCTCAACCCAAAGTGAAGTAGAAGTAATTGGTTTGTTGCTTCCTAGTTGTGACAATTTATATAGACCAAAAAGTGCTTAGCTGTATTGAGATTTGAACTACACCACTAAAAGTTGAAAAGTCACTTATGTAATATACTATGAAAGTTCCAACTAATTCCAAATGTACTTTCAAAATATGTAAATGGTCGTTTGTTTTATTATATAAAAATTCCAGATAAGTTATACTACAATGTTTGGTTAGTTTTATTAGAAAAATACATAAATACACGACTTAAAATTTTATAATCTTTAAAATTTTCTATTATTTTAAAAAATTACAAAAATCTCCTCTCAGATACATTCTTATTCCTTTTCAGATACATCCCTCTCATTATGAATCATGTTCATAATTATGTATCTGACAACAGAGGATGTATCCGACGCAACAACATTATAGAGACCAATATATCCGACAACAGAGGAATGTATTCCACGCAACAGAATCAGTAAGGTTCAATGTATTTGACATCAAAGGGATGTATCCGACGCAACAACATTATAGAGACCAATGTATGCGACAACAGAGGAATGTATTCAACGCAACAAAATCAGTAAAGACCAATGTATTTGACATCAAAGGGATGTATCCGACGCAACATAAACTTAAGTAATGTATCATTTGCAATGTATCGGACAACCAATGAACGTATCCGAGAGCAATGAAAAATCTGAAATTTTTGTAATTGAAAAAGCTTCTAGGATAAGATGTAATTAATTAGCCTCCAAATATATGAGATTTTTGTACTTTATACGAAAAACAAACTACCTATTGCTATTAATCCCTACATAAATTATATAAAAATGTGTTTTTTTTTTTTTTGTGAAGATGAAATCTCGAGTAACAAAACGCAATAAGAGTAACAAAAATAAAAATTCTTGAAGCAAATAATTTGTGCATAAAACTTCATCATATGTATCCACCACATAACAATATTCACTATGTATATATAATTCTTGCAGTATATTTATACATGAAAAAACAGCCCCTTGAGCAATAGAGGATATATGGGGGTTCACAAAAATTTAGTAGTCTTGCCTTCGACATCCATCTCTTTGCGGTTCAGATAACAACTCCCGTGGTGTGACAAACAGTATGTACAAGACCTATATATTTAAGTTTTATAGGTGCTAAAATATCTATTATATTTCTATAAATATTTAACTGTGAATTTGATATTATATTAACTTAATGTTATTATACGTACAAGTGAATAAACTTTAAATATGAATCCGACTCTACTTTTTGAAGTCTTAAATTACGATCCGTTGGTAAGTAGAATGCTTGGTTGATACGCTAAAAGTAATAGGAAAAAAATGAGATGACGTTGATTAATGTCCCAAATAAAGTGAGCTATGGAATTTTCTAGGAAATTGTAAGGCATGATAAATAATAAGAAGGAAATTGCACAGAAGCTTCCTCCGGGTCACCTAAAATTGACCTTGCACTCACACTTCTTGTTGGTATATACTACGTACAAATGTACCAACCCTACTAAAAAGAATGTAGTAAAGTCGAACTTCTCCATAACAATCTCGTTTGTTCAAATTTTCTTATTGCTATATCAAAATATTATTATAAAGAACGTATATAATCAATTGCGTAGCCACAGCCACCTCAAGGTGTCCAATTGGATACCCTTCGTCGGAAAATTGCATTGTATATATATGTCAAATTCTATATTTAAAGAATATATATTTAAAGTTGGACATCTTTGACAGAAGCTATGCCTTTGACACAGTGGTAATGAGTGTCCATTTGAATGAAGGAATCTCGGATTCAAACCCCAAACATCACAATATATATACTTTTTATTTTATTTTGACAGTCACACTATTATTCCTGGACACTTGACAGCCACACACTATTATTCTTTGACACCCTTAATAAAAATTCTGACTCCGCCATGATATATAATATGATATAACATAACACAAAAGTCTGTTTACAAAAATACTTAACTATTATAATGTAAATGTTGTTATAGAGAGATCTGAATATAATCATAATTATTAGTATGTACTTATAATTATGTCTTTTGAACAAATTATAACATGTACCCTGCTCTCTGCTCTCCGCTCTCCGCTCGTTATCATAGAAGAACATGTGCTAAAATGTCTTTTGATCAATTAGATCATGAGCTGACACAAATGCCAAAAAAAATAAAATTGACTTGATGAGCAATTACTTAAGATAGCCTCAAACATTTTACCGGACAATCGTAAAGCTTCACCAATTTTATTGCTTTTTTGAACGATTTTTTTTTTTTGCTAACGCGGCCGTAACGATCCTTATGGTTATTTTGTGTTTTCAGTTATTTTTTATTGTTTTGATCCTTCTTGTAGATTCAATATAGTATTTTGGATTTGCAGGGATGGGTGATGTGATTCCCGAAGTGGGAAGAGGGGTTTTGGATGAGTTTCATTTTGGAAGATAGGGAAGTTGTAAAGTTTGATCGAAGTCAAAATTTGAGGAAGATTAACTCAGAATGGAATTTTGACGGTTTCGTTAGGACATCTCCAATCCTATATTCTATTTTACTCTTTAAAGATAGAGTTCTCTATTTATTCAGACAACCAACTTCAATCTAATTCTCTATTGGGAAAAATGTCAAAATATGTGAAATTGACCACTTATAGTCTCCATTACATTTTGGGATAAAAAAAATACCCCCGCCAATATTCTAAGAGACCACAAATACCCTCAAGAGTTAACTAATCCCTCCACCTAAGCGTTGCCACCTAGGATTCACCGCAAAAGAATTTGACCTTTAGCGGCGACAAAGTCGCCACATCATCCCAAAAAATTGCCACTAAGGTTATGAGTGATTTTTAGAGGCGACTAACGCAGCAAAAGTCATTCGCTAGTAAAATCTATTTTTTCAAAAAAAAATATATATGATAATTAATTTTCGGTTGCAACCTAATTTTCCAAAACAAATAACTTGCACTATCAATATTAAAAAATCCAATATTATTATGAAAATCATGAAAATTACTTCTCGATTCAAATCTCCTACTACATAATGCATCATTGTACATTTTATACATTTACATATGACATAAAAATAAAACATATAGTTTCTTCAAACTCCTCCTTAATCGATATTATTTTTGTTTTTTTACAAACAATTAAGAAAAAAAAACACAAAATTGAAATTTAATGTTAAAAACCCTTTAGTGAAGATATTCTGAGCTTTTGTGGCGACCGCTGTCGCCGCTAAAGATTTAGTTCTTTTATAGCAAATCCTAATTGACAACGCTTAGGTGGAAGGATTAGTCCCACGTGGCTTGCCACGTCACTAAAAATTTGAGGTATTAACTCTTGAGGGTATTTGGGCGTCCATCGCAGAGAATTTCTAAAAAAAAAACAAAAAAGCAACACCAAATTTTTCAACAGACAAACT